TCCTTGGGGCTCACTGCCAAAGAAGTTATTGTGAAACCTGCTGCCACTCCACTGCCAGTTTATGTTCAGAGAGATGGGGAGAGGCTGCTGAAGGCCCTATACATGACTTGTTAACCACAGTCTGGTCAGGGATGGGGGACAGAGAGCTGGTGGGAAAGCACCCAGAGAATTTATCAGGCCTGTAAACCCATCTTCTGATCACTGTAACATTCTGCCTAAAGTAGAGGTAACAAATACCTCCAGGATAGAGGTGACTTGATTGAAATATATGAAAATAAAATTCCTGAGATGTTTTAACAAGGTGGATGTGGAGACAATGTTTCCTCTTAGGGGCAAATCTAGAGTGTGAAGTCACTGTTAAAAACCAGGGGTCATCCATTTAAGACTGAGCTGAGGAAAAGCCTTTCTTTTCTCTCTGAGGGCCATGAGCCTTTTAAACTCTTTCCCTGGAAAGGTGGTGAAGGTAGAGTCCTCAGATACTTTTAAAGGTAAATAAATTCTTGTTAAGCAAGGGGTTGAAACATTATCTGGGCAAGAATGTGAATTTGAGATGATGGCCCAATCAGGCATGATCTTATTGAGTGAAGCAGGCTAGTGGGGCTGAATGGCCTACTGTGGCTCCATGTTCATATGAATATTTCATTGATACCTCATTCTACCTCAAATTTCAGGCCTTTGGAAGATCAATTTTGTTTGAAGCCTTTTAAGGGCTTTGAAGGGAGTATTTTTGTCAGGAATCCCAATAGCTCCTCCCTTTTCTCTCCCCCACTCACATACTCAGCCATTTTTAGGTGGGACATCACTTTACATTGCTACCCACAAGAATGTAACCGTCCAGTCTAAATGAAGCAGAATCCTTGGCAGACCGAGCTCCACCCAAGTTACAAGATAGAAGTCGATCCTCCAGCCAGGAATTTCAACAAATATCTTGGCTGGTGAAGTTTGATGTGTGATGTCACACGTATAAGGGGATGAATATTGTGTCATTGACCTCTTGCTGGTTTAAATGATCATGTAAATTTTTCCTCAATAAATCATCTGTAAACCAGTCCTAATGCATTGCAGAGCAACCCTAAGGTGATGAATATCTGACCTCGCAATGAGAAAAAGAAATATTTATATATGTCCTGCCACAGTCAATAAATTCGGGCATCTATCTTTCTCCTTGTAAAGTGTCCAGCTTGGAAGCCTACTCTTTTATGTATCTAACATCTTCAAGTGTTCATTTCTCAATGAAATCTTTACAGATATCATTTCATTGGCTCATCACTAAGAGGAAAAATAGACCTGGGTTTAAAAGATTAGATTATTCAAAGAAGTAAATACTGTCCAGTGATCCACTTCACATGTTTTTTTACCCCTAAAACTCCTCGGATTGTTTACAATATAAATTGAATATTTGTGAGGATGTCTTTGAGTGCCATTTGAATGGAATGTTGAGGTTCACATGTCACCCATGCCTGGGGAATCTCCTTCCCCATGGTAACACAGTAAATGGAAAGGAAGTAGAAGTGGGTTAACCAAAGGGGGATAAAGGAGCAGGAGATGGAATGGGTATCCTTGATCGAAGTAGTCCATTTCTGTGCTGTTCGTACGATGTGGTATAATACTTAACAGTGAGAGTAATACCACTGTGTGTACTTTCCGTCTTTTTTCAAACTGGGATCTGTGGTGTATCTGTAGTCTGTCAGAGCTCTGTGTTGTCTGTTAGGAACATTTGTGAAATTAGTAACATTCACGTGCCAAACATGAAATCCAGTCAGTGTGGAGCTAATTTGTTTAATTTGTGATGGGATTATCACTGAAGAAAACAGATACACCAGTGCCCTTTTTACCTTTTCACTTTCTATGCTGCATCCACAAGAGTGTAACATGTTCTTTGCAAAACGCTCTGTGACTTCTTAATCCTATTATTTAAAAAAGGCTATTTCACTATGGGGCTTACATTGCCAAAAATATGACAAGTTATTTGGGCATGTTCACATCCAGGAGCAGCCTGTCCTTTTGGAATTAATAGATTTATAATTTACTTTGATCATGCCTTTTTCTGGAAACACACTTTCTAAGTATCTGGTAATTCATTTCAATAATTATAACTTCAGCAGGAAAGAAATGGGTGCAGCTGGATCATAAACAGTGTGAAAGATTAGAAATCATATTGACAGATATAGCAGCTTTTCTTTTGTGCAGAACTATCAGAATTAGAGAGAATCAAACAGAATTTACAGCACAGACACAGGCCATTCAGCCCAACTTGTCTGTGCTCCTCTAAATAGTCTTCATTGAAATCTATATCATTCAAATCCATCCTCTCTTGTGCTTGTCCAACTTTCCTTTAAATTTGATTGTGAGTTTCCTGTCAAGTCAAGTTCCCCATTGTCTTCACCCTCTGAATACAGAAATCTCTGCTGAAATCCTTGTTGGATTTGTTGGTGATCATCTTCTACTAATGGTCCCTTGTTCTGCTCTTCCCCATAAATAGAATTCAAATTTTAAAGATCTTTATTCACTTGCCCCTCAATCATCTTCTATCTGGATTTCTTCTGTGCCTTTTCTCTCACAGGTTTCACTCTGTCCATCTGCCCCTTCACTGTGATGTGCTCTCAAGTTATTTCCCTCAATCTTCTCTCTTTTTATTTTTCTCTTCTGTCCCTCAGGGAGAGGTTGGTGAACTGGGACTTCCTGGTCCAGCAGGCCTGCCTGGATCTGTAGGGCAAAAGGTAAAGAATGGAGGCATGGTCAAGAGTCCCTGATAGTTTGATTTGCCAAATATTAGCAATTAATGACTCATCATTATTGGGAATCACTAATGCATCTTTTTTGACAGTAAATAAAATCTCATAACAGAGGGTGCTATTTTATCCGGTTGCAATAACCTCGGCTCATCATTAATAGACTTTTGTTTTCACTAAATGAAGCAAGTTGCCTGTGTTTATGTTGTATATTTTAAAGATGTTAAGTTTGGATCCCTAAAAGTTTTCAGCCTGCTTCAGTTAAAGCGTCAGATGTGTGCGTGTGTGCGTGTGTGCGCGCGCACGTGTGTATGTGCGTGTGTGTGTGTGTGTGTGTGTGAGTGTATTATCTCAGTTGGCTGCAGCATGCCGAACTCTCAGCTATACCTGGTCCATGAGCTGACCTCATTCTCCTTCCTGCTTCTGTCTGCATTCTACAAAGTGACTTATCTCTGCTTTCCTTCTGGCTTTTAAATTTCTGTTCACAGGGAGAACAAGGAAACATTGGACAAAAGGTACTAAAATAAAAGCCAAGTCTCTCCTTGCATCTGTCTTGTCTTAATCAAATTAACCTTTTCTACCAATCTGAATCAAACCAATTTCAGACAAAACTAGACTCTAATAGAGAGAATATTTATGTGCTGTAAGTGTTGACTTGTAGCATTCCAGTTAAATTGGGATTTATGCATGTATCCCTGTGTGCTGCGTAATAAAATTCACAAGTTCTGTGCCCAGATGCCACCTTCTACAGTTATGTTGAAGTTGCATTTTTCACATTGCTTTTGCTGTTGTTCATTGTCTGGAACTCATTTCCACTCTTTCCTCCTGTATCCCTGCTTTGGTAAACCACTGCTTACGTGATAATTACCTACTCCATTAATACAATGTGTTTTATTTTAAAAGGAGCAATTTATTCAATAATATTTGTTAAGAAATTTCAAAAAAAGTTTGTGCTTATGTTGCACAGTTTAAGTTGAAGTGAAAAGGTTATTCAAATTAAGAAACCTTGAAACTAGAAGAATTTGGCCGTATTTTACTTTCAAGTGATTTCTTCAATGTTAAGTAAATGTTTTGGAGCAATGCTCAAATAGTCTAATCAAAAAGCTGCTGTAATTTCTGAGGCACCAAACATTGAAAGCTGAAGTCATGCATGTCAATCCATAACAAACAGAAACGGGAATATACAAATGGTTGTTCGGTCGTACGGAATTGACAGTTGCTGAAAAAAGACACATTTTGTTGAAGCTTTTCCAAGCCTTTATCAAATAGAGCCAACCTGGTTTAAAATTTAAACGAAGCCTGACAATTAACTGCCAATTGTCATTACCTGGTGCATTCTCCAAGGCAACACCTCAACCAATCAGAGGCCACTTACTGAATATTCAGCACTCTCTTCTCGTCCTGTATAATTTTTTTCCCTTTAAATTGGTATTCCTACAAACTGTCCTGTTGAGTATAGGGCAAGGAAGTTTGACAAAATTGTCTTTTTTCCAATAATACAGGGAGATTAACATTTGATGGTGTAATTTTCTTAATTGAATTTAAACTTGTGCCCTGGATGTAAAATCATCATTGTACTTAAGTTGACCATTGTAGAGACAACTCGACTTCCATTTGGCATTGAGAGAAAACTTAGTCTTCTGGGGACATTCTGGAGATTGGCACCAGACAGGAGGGGGAGCGCTTGGCTGGGCCAAAGGAGGAGTCTGGGTCAAGTTAATCCATCTGCTCCACCTGCCTCATTACAGCAGGATTTCCTCTGCCCCCAGAAGGGTCACTGCAGGCCACAGAGTGGGGGCAGAGCTGCTGAGGAATGGCCAATGGCTTCAATTGAAACCCAACTCTGACTTTTTGATGTCGATTGCATACATTTACCAGGCCCCTACCTGTTTCATCCACCTATAAAAACAATGTGTGAAACTGGAAAATGTGTGTTTCCATTTTGGATGGGCAATATAACAGATTGTTTATCAATTGCCAGCCTATTGTTTGCACTTGGTATTGACTCCAAAACCACCCCCTTCTGCAACAGGACAGAAATGAACAATGTTAGTAAATGGAGACTCTGCTCCCTATTGGGGAGATCCTGAAGGTTAGAGATTTGTTGACTGATATTGACTGACCTGCTGTGGGGTTTCTCTTTCACTGCTGTATTTTTGTTGCAACGAACAAATGCAGCAATTGTTCATCAACAGTCTCTCTTGCATGTGACTACTTTTCACTCCTCTTCTTTATTTCGCTTAAACTCTCATTCTCTCCCTCCAACAGGGAGAACCGGGTGAAGCTGGCAGTGCTGGTGCTAAAGGAGAAAAGGTAGCTTTATATCTTGCTTCAGTATTTTTTATTATTATTGTGAGCTTCCAGCTTCACAAAAGTCCTGCAGGGTCACTAATACTTAGCAACTAATGCATGCTCAGATACTGTTTTAAGAGGTAGGATTGAAAACTTCTCATTTTCATCCTTTCTGCCAATCAGTTGGAAAAATTGGAAGCAAATGTTCTGTCACGAGGCTCATTATTGGAAAAATAATGCCAGGTTGAACATATTAAGAACAATATGAGATTTCATGTAACCTTTTTTAGTACAGCACAGATTTATACTGGACCATTGCTGGTCTTCGAACAACAAAGAAATATTCTATCAGAAAATCCTTTGTCCATTAAATGAAGAGAAGCATTCATTTATTCAATTTAGAATTATTTCTTCTATTGACATAATGGACAAGGTAAATCCAGGCAAACAGTATTCTACTGTTGATATCTGCAGCTTATTATTTTCAGGCTTAAAGTTGTCTATGTAGTTTTTTTAAAAAATGTTTTGAAAAACAGACTCCCTGTGGAAGTTTTCAGAACAATCGTGGTGCAGCAGTTTCCCAGAAACTATTTCTGGTTTAGAATCTGCTGCTGGTGATATTAGTGGTTTAACCTAGTGTATGTAACATCCCTTTGTCCATCCCGATGCAGGCTTTAATCTATTTTGTTTCACATCATCAAATAAAATAACAAATGGACAACATCTGAATGTGTTTGTCTCTGAAAGTAGCAGTCAAGTGTATGAGATAACAAGGTGTAGAGCTGGATGAACACTGAGTCTTGAGTGTTAAGAGTTTCTAATTTGTGTATTTAAAAAAAACCTTCCCTTGTCACGCAAGATTGAATATAACATAATCTATATCCTTTTGTGTGTCGCTGTATCCGTCACAGACTCTAATATTCACAGAGAATGTCCAGCTACAGAATCTTACAGGGCTCGGAACAATTTGGGCAATGGTGAGATTTGTGGCAAAATCAGAAAAGGTCATTCAGCTTTTTACAGTGCTGCTGGCTGTTCCTGTGGACCATCAAGAAGGCGTGGAACCAGGTGGCCACCTTGGGCCAGGGTCTGGTGGCATGCTGTGCTGTTCCAGTCCTCTGGGGGGAGGGTCTTCTCCTTTGCAGCTCCCCTTGACCAGGATGTCCTGATCCGTGGCAGAGAATCTCGACACTACCTTCTCCTTTTCCAACGTGCTCAGAGCCCGTTCTTGACTGAGCAGGGCAGCTTCAGGGAATGCCACTATTCGCCTGGGTAGATGGCATCCTTTTTAATGACCAGGGATGCTGATCTTTGGGTGAATAGCCACCGAGTGATGAGTTGTTTTGGGGATGGAGCGTGGTAAGGTGGAGATAGAATCAGATGTGAGACACATGCAAGAGCATGATAAGGTGCATTTGGTAAGATATAGTGAGAAATTTCCACTGGACCTTATGGCAAGAATCCCTCTGGAAAAGTCAAAGCAATTTGCAGTTAAGCCAAAAACCATAAGATTAACCCTTACTATCGACATTTAATCAATAATGATGATCCCAGTGTCCTATTAGCAAGACCAGTATCTATTGTAGTAACTTTACAGAGATGTGCAATACAGAATATCATGAAAGCTGAGCTGATAATTTACATCCAGATATGTTACATTTCCCACTTTGCATCAATGACTATGCACTTTGGCTGTAAAACACTCCAACACAGTCAAAGGATGTGGGAGATGCTATATAAATGCAAGTTCTTTGTTTTTCTTTTCCAAATCAGGTCCAGAGTAAATGTAGCTACCTTGCAGTTTTTCTTCAGCTAGCTTCAAGCTAAATGTCTGACTGACTGCAGTGAGCTGGAGGACAGTGATTTTCCTGAGCGAAACAGTTTAAATATCTATGAAAATTAAAGAGTTGCTATTTTTATCTGCTGATTTATTGAGTAATTTCATCCCGGGTTACATGATCTCAGTACGATCTTTTGAGAGATCATAATGGTATCCCATCCAATGAAAGCAGATAATAAAGGGTGAATATTTGGCCCCATTTCATACCATCCCATTTACTTCATACATGGAGTTAATTTCTGATTCAATCGGAAGCTCCTATTTCTGTATCAATGATGATAACGTGTATTGAGAATCTGGAGCATGTTCTTTATCACTCAAAGAATGTGTATTGCTGGCAAGAACAGCATTTACTGACCATCCCCTTGAGAAGGTGGGGGTGAGCTGCCTTCTTGAACCGCTGCAGTCCATGTGCTGTAGGTAGACCCACAAGACCTTTAGGGATCTTGACCCAGTAACAGTGAAGTGACAGCAATATATTTCCAAGTCAGCATGGTGAACGGCTTGGAGGGGAACTTGAGGGGTTCCATTGTATCTGCTTCCCTTGGACTTCTCGGGGGTGAAGATCTCAGGTTTACAAGGTGCTGGCAGTGCCTCTGCAGAACCATCTCCTGTATGGTTCACATTACAGCCACTGTGAACTGAATGCTGAACAGAGTGAATATTGAAGGTGGTGGATTTGGTCCTGATCAAGCGGGCTGCTTTGTCCCTGATGGTGTTGAGCTTCTTGGGTATTGTTGGAACTGCACTCATCCAGGCAAGTTAGGAACTTTTCTTCACACTCCTGACTTGTATCTAGTAGATGGTGGACAGGCTTTGGGGAATCAGGAAGTGAGTTACTCTGCAGTATTCCAAGCATATGGCCTGTTTTTATAGCCACAGTCCATGGCGGTTACTGTTAAGTCTCTGATGTATGGTGACCCTCTAGGGCATTATTTGAGAGGGAATTCAGTGATGGGATCCTGTAGAATAGAAAGGGAGATGATTAGATTATCTATGGGAGATGGTTATTTTTTGGCACTTGTGTGATGTGAGTGTTACATGTTGAGAAGAGGCTTGAGGGAAAGTTGACCAAATAGTTCTTTTTGAGAAAGTTCAGATTTGGAAACTTATAATGTGTTGGTGTGAGAAAAAGTTGAGTTAACTTTGAAGTCGATTCTCCTGTTCCACTATGTACTGGCTCGGCTGGCACACTGCATGATGGAATTGAGAAAGCCGTTTCCCAGTCAGTGAGGTGGCACAGCTGATGTTTTCAGGATACATTGAAGCAACTGAGAAACGTGACTGGTTGCTGAGATCTGGTACCGTTGCTCCACAATGAAAAAGTGAAAGCCTAAGGAGAGGCCACATGGACTTATTTTGAATTCAGAAAGATTAGAATTTACAAACTGAGATACTGCTCCTAGTTATCTTTAAACAATGGGACTTGGCACTGGGTTATGCAACATGTCTGGTGTTGAACTATATTTTGGTGATAACTGTAGGCACTTTTTGTGCTTGATGTCTAGTTGTTCATGCTCATGTTCTAAGAGTGCCACCTGCTGGCACCATTTGATGTTTGTGTTGGTGCAATTGGAAAAGAGAAACTTTGTGTAGATCGTTTCACCCCAACTTTCAGCAGCTGTCCCTACTGATGCCTGTACTCCACACACTTTAATACCCATTTCAACACAATCTCTTAGGCACTTTCAGTATTAACATATTGAACATAAATAAGTTGTCGACTTGTACAAATACAAGATGGTAACTTAGTTAACATCCTTCATCAAGGCCTTTCAAATGTTTTTCACCATCTTCCTCTGTTTATAGCCTTCTCTCCTGTTGTTTTCCACCAGAAACAAAGGAACAGGAGCAGGCCATTCACCCCTTCGAACCTGCTCTGCTGTTCTGGATCATAGCTGATCACCTCCCTCAACACCACTCCCTGCATGCAGACACTATCCTTTTATTGTCTTTAATATCTAGAAATCTATCATTTTTTGACTTGAATATACTCAATGACTGAGCTTCCCCAATTCTCTGGGTTGGAAAATTCCACTGATTAACCATCCTCCGAATGAAGATATTCCTCTTCATCTCAATCCTAAATGGTCTGCTCTTTACACTGAGACCACGCCTCCTGACTGTGGGCCAGGAGAAAGCAAAACTTCCTGTGTTCATCTTATTGAAGTATTTTTAGATGATGCAACTTCCAGAAAAGAACCGTTTTGAAACCGTTTTCATTATTAATGTACTAATCAGTGGTGATCCAAGCCCCGACCTTTCTCTACTTAAGAGATAATAGTTAGCAATGAGGTGCTTTATATTTGCAGAATGAAGCATGTCCAGAAAATTCGATTACACAAGAACTAAATCTGTTTAAAAAACCAGTTTATTATCGAGATTCAATTCTGGCAAATTTCTGACCATCTGGGCCAAAATTTCCTTGATCAAAAAAAAACCCAACATTCTGATAGAACATGGACTTGTACCATTTAAAATAATAAGACTAAACTTTTGGGAATGTCTTGTTGTGGCATGTTGGATGGCTGCCCTTGTTACTTCTCTGAACTCTAGTTATAACACAGTTTCAAATCTGCCACTGTTCAACCATGCGAAATAGTTGAAGCAGAGAACAGCACAAATCCCAAACCTTTGGCCAAAATTTTTCAAACTAATTGCGTTGGAACCAATATTGTAGTCAAGCACATCAATGCTGGTGGTCCAGTAATTTGCTGTGACTCCCAGCCAGAATCTTGGGACGTTAAGTCCCAGAATTATCCTGCTGGATGCCTTCAGTTTTCAATGTTGTTGTAAGCTTTTCTTTGGATTCAAAGGGTGGAATTTATGGCATAAGTTAAGGGTAATGAGAAATGGCAGGGCAAGTTGTCCATGCCCCATTAGTCGGACAAAGTATTGCTAACAGAAGTAGAAGGATTGCACTTGCTAAATGCATAAATATTTAAATTCTTCTTATTGTTCTTGTAGCTTTTCAAATAAAATAAGAAAACAAAATATCCACAAAGCGTCAAGATATAAATAGTAAATGTAATAGTCTTTAAAAGCCACACCAAAGATTGGAAAATGAACATGTATTATAAAAACTCTTCCACATGAATCGTTCAGTTGATGTATTGTTCTCCAAGCAGCTTAAATGGATATGCATATGGTGAGAAAATAAGTTTCATATTCATTCTTGCTA